ATCATAATAAAAATCAATTATTTAACAAAAATGAATGAGTTGAGTATAATTTTTCACGTTCATACATCTATAATAACAAGAAAAAACAATAACTAATCATAGATATATACTTTATATTAGAATATATTTAACTGATCGGATCGGATATTCGGTTTTTTTAAAATGATATTTGCGATTTGCTTTAGTTTCTACGAATGGTATTTGCTTTGCTTTGAAATTTTATAGATATCCGGATTCATCGGAAAGATCGTAACGAATAGCGAATAGAATCGGATTTGACGGAAGAAAGAATGTCGGGTTTTTTTAAAGAAGACCCAAAATATTATTCTCACGCCTCAGTGACAAAACGGTAACGCTTTCGTTATCCTCGAGTGCTCACAACACACGTGTCGCATTTTCAAGTCAAACCCCAACCGCACAGACAAAAGAACCCGAAATTTGCAAAATCCTATCTCCATCACCAAAAACCCATTCTCTCTGCTTCTTCGATTCGACTCAAAATTCCGACCAAAGTCTCCATCTTTCTTTCTGGGTTTTCTCATTTATCAACGGAATCAGCAAAGCAATGATTAACTAAATCCTCTGCTTCCTCGGATTTTAGAGTAAAGAAACCATGAGGGTGATAAGTTTGAGCAAGAGTGCTAATTACGCACTACCTGATGTATGTTCAGTACGGAAACTCCCGTTTCTGTCTGCGTCTGAATCCTTCCCTTGTCCGAAGACTTCGACAAAACACACTGTTCCTCCTTGTAAGTTACTCTTCCTATGAATTGAATTTGATTCCATCAAATTTACCAGAGAACTCTTCTTATGAGCGAATGCTGATTAATTATTGGATGTGTAATTCTGATTATTGATTTGGTGTTTACTTTTTTTGTGCGTGACTGAGGTTTTTTTATCTGTTAAGACACTTACCAATGTACTGACTAGCTTTGTAGTAAGATGTAGACGGAGACAAAAGTTGGATTTGCTCTGCGGAAAGTTTAGAGTTTATGCATCAAATGCTGATGTTGGGTCCGGGAGCTATGGTGGTGGTGAGGAAGATGGATCTCAGAGTAGTTTGATTGATCAATCTCATGCTACTTCATCAGAAAGGTTCATATTTTTGTTACTCATTAGTAAAATTCTTCTTGTTAGCAAAGGAACCAACATTTGCTACAGTTTAGAGTTGAATATATACAGTAGCGTGCTATCAATGTACGCGGTGAAGAGTCACCGTTGAAAATTTTATCCTAAGTGTGGAATATATATTTAGAGATGGATCTGTAGTGACTTGGTCCGCTTGGATACAGGTTATAAACATTAGTTTTATCATTTCTTTTAACTAGTGTTTGCTGTATGAACAAGCAACATTTAAGGGACATAAGCGACTGGGAACTTTATAGGTCTTTGTGCTTATGAGATGTATCTCTTATTCTCTGTTGGCAAGAAAGCACACTAAGGTTGGAATATTGTGCTATTGATGCTTTCTACGTGTCTTTCCGGGTCTTTCGGTACGAAAGCATACGTAACCATGAAAAGTACGAGAAGGGGAAGTTCCTGTAGAGTTGGTAATGTTACTCTTAGTAGAGGAATTTCCTCTAATCTCTGTGAATTATGCAATACTAAATGTATGTGTGTAATAGGGTTGATTGAAGCTTATTTGGTTCTACTTCTCTTTTTAAAATGCATATGTGATTCATGATCCTTGTATTTTCATTGTATCCTGCAGCTTGAAACCTCGAGAGCCATTCCCTTACTCTTTATCAATAGCACTTGTACTACTGAGTTGCGGTTTGGTATTTTCTCTAATCACTTTTGTGAAAGGAGGACCATCCTCAGTTCTAGCAGCAGTAGCAAAGTCAGGCTTCACAGCAGCCTTCTCACTGATATTTGTTTCCGAGATTGGAGACAAGGTGCTATTTTGAAGCATGTCGCCTTTAGTTTTCTTTTATGCTACCAAAATTCTTGATTATAATGATGCTCATATATATGGTATCCTCACTTAACTGAGCTTGTGATCTCACATATTTTGTTTTTGGTTGGCTAGACATTTTTCATTGCTGCTTTGTTGGCCATGCAGTACGAGAAAACACTGGTACGTGT